TCATTATTACTGTATGGGATACGTTAGCAACCTTTTGTAGATTTCATCTCGGCCGTGGGAGAGATGTGCCTTCCCAGCCTTTATTCCATGAAAGTGTGAAGACACGTATGGAAAACCCATTGTTGAATTATTCACCGCGAGTGCGATAGAAGAACAGCAGCGAGACATACTTCACATGAAAGACAACCTTGAATGCTTATTGTATCCAGTTCGTTTTGTATTGTACCACCTAATACAGTAACGCACCATTTCAACCGCTGGGGCGCTTATCTTAGTAAGAGACAATTGATCGTTTACAAAGGCCTACAATATTATGAATCCAACAGTCATATGGGCGAGGTAAGTTAAGATGATTTGCTATCTGACAGTGCATCGGCACAGGATCTCCGAACTTCAAGTCGATCCGTTCTACTATCACTGAAATGTGGCAGAAATCCGAGATACAGCAGCTGTAGGAGAGCTAGAGGGAAACGGGCTACTGTAACTCTCTATGGAAAGCAAGCGCCGCCACTGGCAGTTGTGGCGTGTCGAGCATCAAGATGACATTAAGAGACGCCATGTGTGTGAGCCTTTTGAGCAAGCGAAGACGGTGCCTAAGTCAATATCCCAAACTTAATAGATCTTCGATATCTTGATTATCGGAGAGGGGTGTGCCTGCAGGCTGAGAGGAGGAGGCCACGTTGCCGAAATCATCGATCTTGGGACAGGCGCAGACATTCGTGACATCAAATTGGTGGCATTCACAAGAGACAATGGCAGTGACGGGTGGAAGAATACAAGACACACGGGTGGCGGGCGCAGCAGAGCCTAAGGAGAGAAGAGTGCAGAAGGAGAAGGAAGACCGAGTCAGTGTCAGTCAAGTCGGGGACCGCCGTGGTTGCTTATGTCATGCTTGTCAGTGATGGGGCCTTCAGTTGTCTCCCTCACTCATCTTTCTCACCCGTCTTCCTTCTCTTCATCCCACAACAACTGTGCACCCATAAATTTACTTCCTTTTGACCTACATCATGTTGGTTGGCAACCTTATACAACAATCATCCGTCCCTCCCAGCCCCACCGACCTATCGGACTTTGTCAACATGGATCTGTTCACTACACAAAGCTCTACGACCTCCAGCTCTCGTGAGCCCTCCCCTTCGATCTCCACTCCACTCTTTTCCCCTCTGCCTATTATATCCGAATCAAATCCCTCCGACTGGTTCAACTTCTCTCTCGAGGAAGACTTTGTCAAAACCGACCATACCACACCAGCACCAGTCACCGGTGGCCCTTGGGATTTCCTCACACTTTCGAATGATAGCCCCGACTCTGGAAGTGCGGCCGCAGGAAGTGGGCTTTCCCCTTCTTTTGCAATCGATCCCCAGCTCATGTCGAGCTCGGTGCCACCGGTATCCGCACATGACCTCGGAGAGATGAAGGATCTAGCAGAGAAAATGCGCGAGGAAGAGGACGAGGAAGAGGAAACCATCGCAACCCCACCTGTTAAATTCGGTGGCAAGGGCAAGTCTCGGAAGGGCGTTGTCCAGTCTGGCGGTATCCAGAAGAAGGCAACGGTATCGGCAGTCGTGAGGGATAAAGATGACCCGAGAGATGATGGTGATGATTGGCGTCCTTCACCGGAGGAATACAAGAAATTGTCAAGCAAGGAAAAGCGTCAGCTTCGTAACAAAATTAGTGCTCGTAACTTCCGAGTGCGCCGCAAGGGTGAGATAATCACCTTTCTGTGACGACTGTAGCTTAAGAAATCAACCCCAGAGTACATAACGACCCTTGAAGGAGATATTGCAGAACGTGATCGTCTCATTGATGCTATCCGCACGGAGCTCGGCTCGAGCCAGTCGGAGAATGCTTCGTTGAGGCAGGAAATCAGTGCCCTCAAGAAAGCCCTAATCGCTTCCGCTGGTCGGGCCGACTCCCCCGCATTGCCTCCTCCTGGTCCCATCCCCACCCCCGCCACCCGCCTTGTGACCCCGAACACCCAAAAGGATCTACCATCGTCCCCTCGTCTCGCCGCCTCACATACCAAAGCGTTTTGGGGAGGAAGTGCTTCCTTTGGCGGCGTTACCCCCGTTCACACGACACTTATTCCTGAGAACTTCGCACAACCACTCGCGAGCGTCAAATCGCTGGCCAGAGCGCACAGATATAGCCATATACTCCAGGAAAATATCAATCCATTACTTAATCTCGGAAATCCCGGCCTACCTGCCAACGCCTTCGCTAACCTCTCCAAGGCCACCCCATCCGACTCGTATGCCGATGCGTGAGTGTAATCCTTATTTCATAGGAACTCCTCTTTACCATCTTTTAGATACCGAATGCAACTCCGGAGTCGCTTTGCCCAATACCCACCGACGCAATCTCAACTGCAGCCATCGCCCACTGCTTTGCATCCCCGGTATTTCCCGTCGCCGGGTGTTCCTACATCCTCTGTGTCCGTCCTCAGCGGAAAGCATACTTCCAGCTATCCGTCGCCATCATCATCACCGGAGCTCGACTCAACGACACCTCCGCTCACATCCTCGAATGAACTACCGACGCCGCAACAAGCTCTGCTTGCAAGTATGGCGTCGCAGACGCTTCTTCAGCAGCTCGGTAGCACTTTCTTGCAGGCCTTCATGACGCAATTGCCATCAAATGGAGCATCGCCTAACACCGGTACTCCAACTTGGGATGCAGACAAGATCCGACGTGTCCTCGAAGGGAAAGCAATTGTAAGCGTCGTCGACGTCGAGCCAGAGGTGGATATCCGCGCTTCCCCGGTCTCACCATCCACCCATACTCTCCCCAATGACGAAACGACGCTCGAATCCTCGAAGGGGTGTGGCCTTACAAGTGTGCTCGAGGAAAGCATGTGCGCGCTGAGTTTGAGAAAAGAGTGAAATATCCTCATGTTGTTTGTATCATTGTCACTGTGATATCTGGTTGGTTTGTCCCGCATTAGCATCCACATTGTTTCCTTGTCAGTCGCTCCCCTTATTTTGCAGAGCTTGTGTTTTACCTCTCTCTTCTGTTTCGCTATCTCTTTGCTCACAGCGAGCTGTCTCCACTCTCGACGACGAATTCCTTATCTACCTGCATAATCGTAGTGGTCAAAAGTCATTGCACAATTCTTTGATTCGTCAAAGTGTACGTCATGAGGCGAGTTGTAAGTTGTCGGGTTCAGGTCATCAACTCAGCGATCAGCTGCCAGTTCTCCGTCCCGGCGACCCGATTACGAAAAGGTGCCGTGTGATGTCGCAGTTCATATACATCAGCGGCTCCACAGGATGCCCCAGCATGGAAGCTTCAATACCGGGTAGAATGTTCTCGGCAGTGTACCTGTGCAGATGGTGCCCCGTTTCAAACAGAATGTGGGAGGTGGTTCTCCGCCTCTGTCACCGGTGATGCGTGCTTTCGGCCGCGGTGTACTTATTTGACCCGATGGACCCAGCTAAAATTGAGCCGTGTTTTGTCAACTAATACCGATTCGGTGCTAGTGTGGTCACTGAATACAGTTCCCGGCAGGGTCTCAGGGCAGAAGGAACCGTCCGTAATCGGAACTTGTCCCTGCCTAAGCGTAAGCGTATTTAAGGAGCTGTCAATCCATTCTTTGACTCTCATCCTCCCCTCTCTTCTGCACCCTACTACTACTCGTATTCTCTTTTGCATCTTCGCACCCCCATTACTAAGCGACTTCGGACTTACGGACTTATGATGATTTTTAAATCACCTGTTGCATTCCTCTTTTCTTTGGCCATTGCCATGTCGGCCTCCTCCGCCATGCCCGTGGTCTTCAACTCTCTATTAGAGAGAGACGTTTGGGCACCGAAAGTCACTAACCCGAATGCGGCGACTGTTTGGACAACTGGTTCGAAGGAGACAGTTATATGGTACGTCACCATGTACATATGGGGTTAGGGCTGTGCCGTTCTATTCATTTGTTTGTGTGATAGGGATACGTCAAACCGCCCTGAGAATGTCACGAACCCCGTAGGGACCCTTCTGCTTGGGTATATCAACTCTGATGGTTCGGGAGGCGAGAACCTCGACGTCGGTCAGTTGATTTAAGTCCGAACACGTGTTCTATTTTTGCTTATCGTACCATACGACACCTCACTTCACTATTTTAGCTCATCCTCTGGCTCAAGGTTTTCAGTTGAGCGCTGGGTCGGTAGAAGTCACGGTCCCGGTAGTCAAACCGAGGAATAGTTATATTGTTGTTCGTGCGTACCTCATACTTGCTTCTATCTTTGTCCTTTCGCGTGACACTTACTCCACTGCGTTAACAGTTATCGGCGACTCAGGTGATGCCAGCGAACCGTTCAACATTACGGCGGGGTACTAGGCGAAATGAGATACGATATTCGTTATCTTAGCAAGACGACATGGATGCTCTCACGACAATTTCTGACCGGACACTGGACACTGGACATTTGGGACACTGTATTTTTTATTAAGCATTTGTTCGGGACGAGACGAGAACCTTTTAAACAACTTACTACAATATGATCTGTAATATAATTCGAGCTCGTTTACTCAGTCACTCTTCGTTTCTACGTAGGCACATGTTGGTCCGTGATTACTGTAACAAATTAACGAGGGTACAATCTATTTTCCTCCAGAAGACATCGTTTAGCAACTGAGCGCGTACTGAGTACTGAGCTGCGGCCCATTGTTCATTACGTCTTACCCGTGAGCTCGGACACAGTTCGGCTCAAGTGCTACAGTACAGTGTTCTATGGAGAATATTGAGGATGATTTGGGCTCCCTCCGAGTCAGATTCCAAGCTGCGAAGCTGCAAGCGTATTTTAAAGCAAAGACCGCGCTCTCGGTTAAATTTCTCGGCACTGACATGGACACTTTTGGTCGCTGCGCCTATTCTAACGCTGACACAGGGCCGTCATACGTGTCTGTGGTGCTATTGTTTCATCGTAAGATGACCTAAGGACAGGAGCTAAAAATATCTCATACGAAGCCAATTTCAATTTCCTGCGTGGAAAAAAATACCCATCCGAAGAAGGTCTTGCCAGGGTTCGAACCTGGGTTTCGGGAAATTCACAAATTGGTTGCACCAAGTAAGTGTAATCAAAATCCCGAGTGATAACCACTACACTACAAGACCACACGTAAAAATATTATACTGTACCACATGACGGAAAGAACAATGCCTCATGACAAGTAATAAATTACGAAATGGCGCTTTGCCATCACGGTCATGTGATACCAAAGGGGGTGATTGCGGTTTGTTTTTGTGTATTCGGGTTGTCTGATGTGTCAACGCGGCGCATACATGCTGAAGCAAAGCGACAGCATCGCTTTTGACCAGTCAGTCTTTGTTCTATTGTTCGAAATCACGATCCCCTGATCCGCACGCAGGGACTCAAGACCTCACCACTCTCGTTCATGTTCATGTTCATGCCTCTAACCGATAGCAATCCCTTATACCGCGCCCAATACCTCCTAGGACCCATCGAAACCATCGTCTGCTCGCGACGAGCCCCCTCATTTGGCCATCTATCTCTCCATGACATCGCGGAAGCCTACCGTACCCTTTCTATGAGGATTCGGGACTCGTCTGATCACCTCACTACCGTGTCAGACGCCTTTCCAGCGCTCGAATCGCTCAGAGATAAGGGTGCAGACGTCGTGGCCGCTTTACGGAGAGATATTTCGCGAGCTCTACGTATTTCAGCATGGCAGTCATCCGACGATTCGTCTGCTCCTACCGCAGAACCTGTTGGCTGGGAGGAGGTGACGACGCATCGCGCGACGGATTTTTCGATTTTATGCCATTACGCGCTTCGTCTCTTGTCAGAGATATTTAGATTCCCGGCCCTTTCATCTTTGTTCACGTGTACGTCCCGCATTCACCCTCGATTGACGAACTGCTCTCACGGTGCCACAGCGCACGACCTTAGCCTTCTCCTGGGAGATGTAATTTCTATCGTTCGCCGTTCTCAGTCCCCATCCTTCAATGTATCAAAGACCACCATCCTCTCGTCTTGGGTAGTCCGGACGCAAAAGCTTCCGAAAGATGTCCTACTACCTCGGATGGACGACGTAATCTTATACCTTAAACTTATTCTCGAAGCCGCAGTTAGAGATACCCGTGTTATTGTAACTGCAGTGGACGCACTTGATGTGAGTCGATCATCTCTGCAACATATTCCAGCTAACTCATTCTTTCAAGTGTATCGTTAACCTTCTGACATTCCACCAATACGTATTCGTAGCCCGACTAGCAGATCTCCTTCCTTCTGTTTTCCCCCTTGTCATACACACATCATCAGAGCTTCGCCATCATGCAGCTGTGGTTCTCGCATCACTTTCCCACACGCTTATCACACATCGAAGACTCATTGGCAAAAATACAATAGAAACCATATGCCTTCATACTCATTCATTCCTTACGCCTGAAACCACACGTCACCCCACATCGTCCCGAAAGCTCCCTCCTCTGCTCGACGCAGCGGTGTCATCGAAGAATTTCGGAAGTATAGGCAAGAATTCCCCTTGGGCATTGACCCTCGTCGCAAACTTCGCTGTCCTGCTTGGACCTTCGCTCTTTTTACACCAAGGACCTCTCAAGCTTGTCATGAACACGGCGCAGAAGGCTCTAAGACATCGACCTGGGCGTGATGTCTACCCTCACGTTTGGCGCACTTTCATCTGGTCGATGACTGAGCTTTATATTCTACGAATCTCGACTGACAAGGGAGACGTAGACGTTGTTAAGCGCTGCGTTCTGGTACTCAAGCAAGCGTTGAACGGTGGCCTCGGCGCAGCTTTGATCACATCCTTGCTGGAAGCAACCTCCACAGATTTCCAGAACAAATGCGCACTGGGATGGGTTTTCCCTAGTGTAACCGACATCGTTCATGATATGTTGTCCAGCAAGAACCAGGACATCCGAGACGAAGGATGCCGGATGCTTGGATGTCTCACGCGTGGAGTTGGATCAACCTGCAACACACAGCGCGAGAGCAACTGGACTACCGATACCCTGCTATCTCGATTTCTCTTTGACGGGTCGCTCCTTCGTGCAGATAAACTCCAAGTCGAAGAAATAGTACGTTCAACGAACATTTTCTCGCCACGGTGTCTGTCTCAGGAAGAGATTCTGACGAACTGGAGCCAATTATCGTCCTGCTTTGTTTTGGTCGTCCAAAACTGTTTTGATGACGATGAAGTCGATCTGGCGGTGGGTAACGTCCGTTATTCCCAATGGGCTTTTCATTGATATATCGTCGCAGACTACGGTCCTCCCTGTATGGCAGTCCCTCCTACTTGTCCAAGCCCAGCCTACACAGGGAGATAGGCCCACCGCCTCCGTCGATTTTGGTCCGCAATTGTCTTCCTTAATTTCACAACTCCTCCCTGAGCCTTGGGTCCCTCTGCCTGGAGAAGCAAAGGCGATCAAAGCTCAAGTGCAGTCGCTCGTCATATCTAAACAACTTTGGGTCGTGGTCCAGAACACGTTTTCACGACCATGGCTCGTTCCGGTCGCTTCCTCTTTCCTGGCGGCAATTTTGCAGCGCACATTTTATCTTGCTGATCAGGATGTCCTCGCAAATTGGAGCCAGTTGTGCTCAACTTTAATTGCAGCTGGGATTCCGAACGCGCTCAAGTCTATCTCGCACCAGGACGAGTCTAACCGCGCCCCGGAGATCAAGAGGCAGCTTTGGCGCTTGGTGGCAACGCACAGCGATAGTTCGATACCCAACTGCTCGCAGTATCTTGCTTCAGTCCTGATGTTTCCTTTTGGGTGAGCGGATACGACTCTCGCTTCAAAATTATTCTCACACTATATGACGAACCGCAGTACTTGGAGCATGTCAGGAGATGATCTCGACATTTGGGAACGAGCGCTTGAGCGGTATTTCTCAGCAATGGACACCTCTCCTAAGTCAGTTGACGACATAACCAGTAAATGTCCAATGATTGGCCCGAGGTAGGTTAACGGTGTTATTTCTCTTCTTATTGACATGGACTTGGTGTAGCTTTCCAGTAGATATTGCTTTGGGCATCGCCCTTGCCATCCTCCGACGCCTCAACCTCAATGAAGGAGATTCAATCCCAACTAGGACGTTATCTTATTTTAATATGACCTCGCCGCCTCCTATCCGCCACAACCAAGCACAGTCGATACAGCTTCCGATCTCATCAAGGCCTTCCATCGCATGATTATATCCGTTCCTGTCTCTCTGCTCGAGCCAGTTGTCTTCGCCGTACAGGCTGGGCTGGCCGTTTGGATAGAAGACGATTCTGCATCTCTGTCAGTAGATCAATACAACGACCTCGTTCGTAATCTTTCATCTTCGCCTCCCTGCCTCCCACTTAGTCTACTTTTTTCGCAGCTCATGCCCGTCTATGATTCACTCCTCACACGTTTACAGTCGCTTCCCCTATCTATCACGTCTCTCAACGCCCTTGCCCCGCTCCTCACCGCGGTATTTTCGCGCATTGTTCCGCCAGCTCTGGGTCCGACCACGTTTATACGCTTCTTCGAGGTAGTACATGCCCGTCTTGCTGCACCACCCAACGCATATAACGATGATCTGCGGGTGTGCGTCGATGCCTATGTGCGCGCCCACGGCCGACCATCGGGCATGCCCCTGCTTAGCTCGACCTCGCAAACGCAATCCCAATTCCAAATGGACGGTCAGTTGACGATGGAGGTATCAGTGTCACCTGCGGTCTGGAGGGTTGCTGGAGAGCATACTCCACATTTTCGGTCCATAGAGGTAATCATTCATGTCCCGCATCCTTGGACTTTTGTTGAAACAGATCTCTTGTGGAACCGTAGCACGAAGTTATCCCAGACTCCCAATGTGCCATCTCACACGCGGCGCTGGGCACAGCATCAGCATCACATCCAAGATTCGTCCCGGAAGTTATTCAAGGGTCATCAAGTCCAAGTCACAAATCACCGGAGTCTATTAGTCCGAATGATAGCACTGCTCTGAGAAAGCGCCGCTTACCACAAGACAAACCATTGGCCAAGCGCCATTGTGCAATAGCTTCGACCAACGATGGGGCACGTATTCAATCAGAGCCACGCTCACGCGTGTCTTCGCCTATTGTCTCAGGACCTCGCTCACTTTCAACGCCGAGGTCTTCACCGCGTCAGAGACTGATCATGGAGTGCGTCGAAATTGTGCCTCCCCGCGAACTTTTACGCCTCCGGGCGTCAGAATCAGGGAGGGAAAAGAGCGGGCAACAACACAGGAACAACCTAGATGATCACACGTCGGAGATTACTCCTGAGAGGCCACTTGTGCCCAGGGTCATCCGGGCGCTGGAGGAAAAAGATGAGATTGGTATGTTAATATCTCGGATTCCGAATGTTAACGTCATGTCGTGGAATTTATGCAATCGTCGTGCAGTACCTGAAACACCAGACGCAGTGCTGAGACTTCCAAGAATATCGTTGCCTGCGGGGATAGAATCAAGTGAGCGATTCCCCGTCATTTTATTATGGCACCACCCTAATGATCTGACCCTGCAAATGTATTATAGGTCCAGGCAGCGGCAGTCCCACGAGACTACTTGGCAAGGCACAACATCTAGATCGTACGCCGATGACATCGAAGCGCCTGGCTGCTGCTTTGCGTGAGGTTCATGACGTATTCTCACGCCCAGGGGTATCCCAGATACCGGCGGAGGAATTGGAAGCCTCGGCGAAGTTATTTGATGCAGCGAATAGACAACTACGAAGGGGTCTGGCGACAAAAACAAATAAGACATGATGACACTGCCCATCATATGGTGCAAAATGTCGTGATATGTGGTCGAGGAGATTACGGCATGCACAGCTACGCCGCGTTATCTGCGTTGTCACTTAAAAATCGATCAAATGGTGTATCGCCCTGCAGGAGTCTGGCTCGTAACTTATTCGAAGGTGCAGCGCAGCCTTAGCCATTACAGTAGTCCGCGATGGTCGGTGCCGTATTTGGCTAGGCATGTCGGTGAAGTGGGTAACTTGGAGATCAGGCAAACGTTGGCATAAGAGCGGATCACGTGTGATCGATCAAAATCCAACTGGAACCGCAAACTGGCCTCGTGATCAGGCTCTCATATGGGGTAAACCTCGATACTTCGGTCGGTTTCTTTCCCTTTTTG